TTTGTATGTAAAGGCAAACTTGCCCAATTTGCATTTTTTTTACACAATCCATGAACCAAAGCACAGCCATCCTTCAAAAGTTCTCCATATTTTGTGCTCACTTCAGCAGCATATATACAGTGGTACCTCGGGTTAAGTACTTAATTCGTTCGGGAGGTCCGTTCTTAACCTGAAACTGTTCTTAACCTGAAGCACCACTTTAGCTAATGAGGCCTCCTGCCGCCGCCATACCACCGGAGCACGATTTCTGTTCTCATCCTGAAGCAAAGTTCTTAACCTGAAGCACCATTTCTGGGTTAGCGGAGTCTGTAACCTGAAGCATATGTAACCTGAGGTACCACTGTATACAAAAACTGGAGCAATACAAAGAAGATTAGCATGGCCCCCGTGCAAGGATGACATGCAAATTCATGAAGCGTTCCATATTAAAATAAAAAATTCTCCCAATTTTGAAATGCAGTTCTCGAGCCAAGTAATGAGTGTGAAGATGCATATACTAGGGTAGGCTTAAAGGACACAGCAGTCTGGAAAGTAAACAAGAATGTTACCATCTTTTCCCAACAAGAACAGAACAGGAACAGGAAAGTCCTGACTCCGCCCTGATACAATTAACTCTAGTGCCACCTAGTGACTAAAAGTATATTATGATACCATCCACAAAATCTCTACCCATGGTGAGACAGGAGAGAAAAAGTATCTACTGTTTGGTCCTGTCCTAATCTGTTTCTGAGGAGATACCCAGGTGTGGGAGCTGTAGCATTTAAACAGATCCTAAAAATGGAAAAGGAATACTGATTGCTCCTCCCGTAATAAAGAAACTATATCCAAATATAGTTTGCCTTTGGTTTTGTGTCTTATTTCTCATTTGGGAAGAAGACATGCCTCTTCTCTAAACAGCAGCTGTTGTGAAGCAGGGTGGATGTGTGTGGAATTTTACAACGAACCATTTTGAGTTTCAACCTAAGTTCTAGTAAACTGGCACCGTTTCAATGATGTCATTATAGTTTTTGGCATTTTATATCAACTAAGAAATACACACACACCCCAAAGCCTTACTACTTTATCACTAGAATGAATCCAGTAATGTAGCCAGTATTACTGAATACATCTAGTAATGTATTCCTTCCGAATAGCTGCTAATGTAACTACTGTTTGCCTTCATTTTCAGACATTAACGTTATGAAAAATGCTAAGCAGTTTGCTAATCATTACCCATTGCAAATGAAGATATAAGTAATCTTCCTTAATCAGGTCTTTATGATGTCTCTATTCTCCCCCCCCCCCATAAAGCATTTATATTACAGATGCCTGGACATATTTTACTATGTAGCCATTTTATTGATTCATAAATAGGGAAGTTATCAGACTTCTGACTGCTTCTCATGGGGGGACTAATTAGATTATTTGATTGTCTGGTTCATCAGAGTAGGAAATACTTAAGTGTCACAGCTGGCCTCAGACTCAGTGTCTTGTGCCATGATTTTTAAATGAAAACAATTATATCTTCACTGGGAAAACATTTTATAAATGACTGGACAGTAAAAATGATCTAGGCAACAGATAATATCCTATTGTGCTTGCTTGGAGAGACTCAACATCTGTAGTGCCTTTGAATTTATTTACAATGGTTCTTTTTTCCATTTTGGCTCAAAGAGGCTTCTTTGCAACAAAGAGCTGCTTAAGAACCAAACACCTAATTAGGTTGCCTGTAAAGACCTAAGGCTGACATTTCAGGAGTGAGAAACTGGCAAGTTCTCCATTTTAACAGAGCCCCCAACATCTGTTACTGATGTAACCTTTCCAAATGGTGTATTTGTTGCTACAAATTGCTGTGCCAACGAGACTTTTAAGGAGAAAGAAAAATGACGTCAGTCTATTGAATTGCCTTTGCTCGTCTTCCATTCTGTGCCATCTCTCTTGACTTCACCAGGTTTTCAAAAGTCCTTTCACAAGCACAGGCAAGGAATGTTGGGTTCAGGAGCACACAGAGCTTATTTCGAACAATGGCAGCGAAATGTATGGGTAGAGAGAGGCAGAATTATATAACTAGCTGCAATCTATAACATGTGCTAAGAAGAATCACTTCTCCATAACAGAACGCAAGGCACCCCTTCTGTGTTCTCAGCTGACCTCTAACTGGCACATTTGGGTGATGACTCTCCTGCTGGACTGTGGCAATGCATAACTAGATACCCCCTACTCAATGCAGGAGGGCCCCCCGCCAAATGCAGGTGTGTTGCCTACCCATGTTTACAAGCGAGTTAAGCTATCTGATATGACTATTTGAACAGGCCTGGCCCAGGATATTGGGCCGCTTGAGGCAGAACATCCTGCTACCCCGCTCCCTATAGACACATGCCCATGACCCTGTGCCCTCCTTGCTCCCATGCTGCTGCTCTGCCCCATGTGCAGCTGGGCGAGGCACCGCATGGATGCTGCCACCATGGCAACCCAGGTACAAAGGAGGTGGCGGCAAGAAGCATCTTCCTCAGGTGTGGCTCTGCCACCTGAAGCAAGAGTCTCAGCTAACCTCATGAGCAGGCTGCCCTGCACTTCAAGTATGTAAATACCTAACAAGGACTACTCCATTCCTAAGACCATTAAGCCCAGTGTTTACCTAATGGCCGCACCAAGTTTACCCAATGGATATAGGCAGGTAAGTCACTGCACTAGGGGACCTCACAGAGCTAGAGCAGGAGAGTTGATATAAGGGTACGTTGCAATCTTGGTTCATATGGTATAATTAGTTAATTCAATAACTCTCCATGCAGAAACATGGCAGAATCATTTGTCCTCATAGTCCAGGAATGGCAAAACTGTGGCCCTCCAGATATTGCTGGAATACCGCTCGTTATCCCCGACTGCTGGCCATTAGAGCCCTGGCTCATGGGAATTGAAGTCCAACATCTGGAAAGCTTCTAGTTTCCCATCCCTAGGCTGATAATGGCTGCTGTGGTGCTGCCTTGAGTATTTATTTCTCTAGCAGGTCCCAGCCCACAGTTTGGGACTGTTTGGTTGAAAGTCACTTTTAGAAAAAGTCAAGACTGACTGTGCAAGCTATACACAAAAGTTTAAAGATCTGTAAAGTGAGTCATCACCATGAGTCTTCTTTGAACAATGTGAATAAATATCGCATGCCCCCATATCTTCCAGCATTCCATCTATTAATAGTGAGGTAAGATTACTCCTAATTTGTATTTCACATCTATCTCAAAATAATGGTTGAAGGGTGATGATGAACATAGAGACGTCAAGCCTCTTATGTCCTGAGCATCACAGCAATGTCCTCAGGAGGTCCCCCCCCCAATTTCTGCTATTTATTATCACTGACATTAAGTTAGGCTGTAGGCAATGCAGTTACAGAAGAAGAACTGACCACACATTAGGTACTTTCTTTTTGCATCCAGTTTAACCTTCTCAAACCAAGGATTGCTGGCAGATTTCTGTGCAAGCCTAATTCCATCATTTGCCTCCATTAATTTATCTATTCCAAAAATATCTCACAAAAGCATTACCAGCCATATTTTTGCTTATTAGACTACAAAGATAAGTAAAGGTCATATGCTAATTTGACATTTTAAAATCAAACTCAATCCTTCACTTTCATTTTTAAAAAGTTTGATTATAACATTCATTGAGTTAATCTAAATATGAGATTATAATATATTCTTACAGGACGTTGTCTTTTCTAATCAGTGACAACTGCAACACCTGTCATAGCCTTAAATTGTTTACTGTCAGGCCCCAGACCTCATTTTCTGTGCCAAGCTGCAGCCTTTAACGTATAAATAATAAAGAGCACATTGGAGCGTATGTCTAATGCCTTTTTTCAGACCAGAAACAGCACCTACCTATCTGCATATAGATGAAAAACATTCTAGATCAGTGGCATAATTCCAGGCTGGTTTAAGCCCCAGAACCTCCTATGAAGATGGTGTCTGGAGAGATTGTGGTCACTGTGCTACTCTCCTGGCTCTTGCTGTAAACTAAGCCATACTTTGTCATCCAAATGTGGGCTCCTTGCTTGCCTCCTCCAGACAAGCCATGAGCTGTAAACCCAAGAACAAACCTTGGCTACAACTCCTGGTTTGTCTGGAGTGAGACAAGCCATGAGCCACTAAGCTAAACCTAGGGCTTAGCTCACTGCAGCACAGCAACAGCAGGAGCTCATACACCTGCACTAAGTTATAGGTTGGCTTAAAGTGTTATGTGTAAACCATGTCACTGTAACAAATAAATACTATCACCTGTCACACACTAAATTAGTAAGAGTCTGTGGGCTCTGCCTCGAAGGCCAGTCCATTCATGCCCTGCTGCCTTATTCGTCTTGCTTTAGGGAAGCCAAGTGGCCATCTTTGCAGACCCATCTATGGGATTCTGTGCCTAAGCATCATTTTAGAACTCAACTAGCAAGGCCCACTTCTTCTTACGATCTGTGAGCTTGGATGAAGCAGATTGTTTTGATTTAACTACTACTGAAGGCTGCATCAAACCCAGCCTCACTTACAGATTTGGTATAAGACAAATGAGAGTCCAGGGGATTTTAGGTATGCCTTCAGACCTGAGACGGACATGGAGGACATCAGTACTGAGAGGGCCTCCAATGCTGGGCTTTCTGTTAGGCCATCATCAACATTGCATCGTGACAGCTTGATCAGCTATGAAAAGGGAAGCTGGGCAGCGTTGGGATGGGAGTGCTGTAGAGGTTTTTGCTTTGGTATCTGCTGTCAGAATTGCCTCGGGCCTATATGAAGACTAAAGCACCAATCCTACACTCACTTTCCTGGGAGTAAGCCCTGTTGGAACTCAATGAAACCTGCTTCTGAGTAGACACATATATTTTGCACTGTTACTTCTCTTTTAGGTTTGCACCTTTCCACAAACCAAAACAAAAAAGGCGTTGTTTTCACCTTGTTTATCTCAAAGTACAAAAGGAAAATCTTTTAAATACTTTAACTTGGAAAAACAAGAAGCCCGTAAATAATGTATCAAGAAAAATATCTCTGAAATTGATTTTTTATTATTAAAGTACAAAAAATCCAGTCAACTTGTGAACATCCTGAGCTTATTTAAAAATTTAACAGCACACTGAACAATCCGAAGTTTATTTAATTTGTAGCAGAGTCAAATTTATTCCGCTCTCTTTTAAATAATGGTTACCCCTTCTTAAGATATACTCCTTTTCTTACAGTCTTGCATACAAACATATGGTAATTTTTATTAGAGCATTCCCCCCCCAAAGTAAACCCTAAGGGGGAGAAAAAGGAACAAAAGCAGTTTATCATTCAAAAAAAATTATTAAATTATTGCAGTAACCATTTTAAAACATCTTTTTAAGAGCTAATGTCAGAATACATATTCAGGGAAATTCTGGTCCTTTATATTTGAGAAAGAGGAATCATTAGAATACAGACAGAGACCTAAATCAAGCTGAAGTTAATCATGATGAAAACCCACAGAAACCAAATAAGCCATGATTATTGCTTTTGTTGTGACAAGAACACTGTTGACTTTGGGCTCTTTACATTCTCTCACACTCTCTGTGTCTCTCTCTCAGGACAGACTCTACTGGACTAGGAAGGGATAACATTTCCACCTGCCCTGCCCTGTGACATTTTGTGGGTGGCTGACCTTTATCCTTTTGGCTGGAATACGGATGCATTTGGCTTTTAGACTTTTGGTAATACGTGGAGATTTTGTTGTCTTAACTTTTTTTATAAATTGCATCCTGTATTTGTGTACGAATTTAAGTTGCCTTAGGGGTCAACTTAGGTATAGGAATCATCATTACCATCATCTCCATGAGATATGATTCAATGTACAGACACACCTTGGAGCCCAACTGCAAAGGGCATGGCTAATTTTTGAAGGCTGCTGTTTATATGGTGGCTCAAACAACAAAAACTCCAGAAGATGATTGCAAAAGTCACCCTACCACAGCAGAGGACATATATGATGAACCCAGGAGCAAATTATATACCTGAAGGCATCACTGTTATGCTCATCACACAGATTTCAAAAACACCATGCAGACTTACAGTTAATTCATACTGCTTCCCAAGTGCAGCATCGATGTCAAGGACAAAATCTAGAGCGCTCGCAAGAACCCCAGCCTACAGATACTTGTCACTTTTGTTCTGGAATGCAGTGAAGTAATCTATGTGCTGGAATTTGAGAACTTCATTGCCCCAACTGGTCCACCCAGGCTGCAAATTCCGAGCAAACAGCTCCAGACATTCCACATCCGGCTTGGTATATCCTTTTAGAATCTCTGGGGAGGAAAAATCATGAGATTGATTTAATTTTTTTATAAAAAAAACACCACACCTCTGTTTCTTCAATTTCCTCAAAGCTGTTGGAAGGTGGTGGGGAAGAATGTTTCAATAAAGAGAGAGAGAGAGAGAGAAAGAGACAGCAAATTAATTTCAAGGATCTCATCAGCCAGCTTTACTATTTATAGCCAGAAAGGAATATGAAATAAACGACCTTGAGAGTATGAACAATACTGTCAAAGCTTCCAGTCACTCTAATTTATCAGTATTCATTTGGAGACAGGGAATGAGAGCTTCAGCACCGCCTTGTTTTCAGAATTGTCACCATAACATCTCTCAGATGGGAGTGCTTATTTTTGGGGGGGAAACAGCAACACATGGACAGCTATATTCAATGCATATTAAAATTTATTCATTAAAAACTTAAACTTTGAAACAGAAACTTAAAAGGAGGAGACACATCAGGCACCGACTGATTGCACTGGTTAATATATTCCCTCGCAGCACGGTTTACAGCCCAATCCTATGAAGCCTCACTCATCTCAATGATTCCCAGCATGCACAAGACTGAAACTGCAGATCTGCAAGCTTAGTAGCTTGCAGTAGTTTTGTTGGGGGGCATATCTCTTCTTCAGCCATTCCGATTCTTATGGTTTCCTTCCGAGGATCCCTGGAGACTGTAGTTTATTAAGCATGCTGCAGATCATTACCTCCTTCACAGAACTCCACTTCCTTGGAAATTGTTAAGAGGAAGCTGCCAGCTAAAGCAGTTTTGTACTTCTTTAAGACACACAGTTAAGATGCTGCGCAGAGCAATCCTATATTTGCATTATGACCTGGAGACATGCCTCTACTATACTCACAAAACAGCAGAACTTTGTTATGGGATTGCACCTAAATAACTGATTAACAGTTTATATAGTGATTTGTGTGGGTGGACTCCAATGCTACGTGAGTGGAATCTCACTTATGAAGCAAGGGCCCTCCTTCCCCGGCACCCCACAAAATCTGCACTATACTATCAGGTGTTAGTATCCCACTTCATTAGCATTCAGCACAGTCAACCAGCTCATCAACTGAGTTCAAACATATATTTCACCAACTAAAAATGGACAGGCCAACACTCCCTCTCCTTGCTTAGTGAAGACACAGCACCATTCAGGAATACAGACATGTCTGAAAACATGATGACAGAAATGCTAAAAGGCTTGGAAACAAAATGAAGGTTCATTTGATTCTCCCCAAACCGCCCCCCACTAAAAAAACCCCACCAATCATTTATCAATAAAGGTCCTATCCATAAAGGTCAATAAAGGTTATGTCCTCCCCTCTCTCCCTTTACATTTCACAGTCAATTCTATACTTCTGTTTCTCCAATTTTATCTGCAACTTGAACAGTTGCGCAGTAGACAAAAGTTCAGCTGCTGTGTTTTTCTCTACCAACAACTCTCTTCAGCAACCTGCTGAATTTCCACCTGTTTTACAGCTGTTAACATTTTGAGTTCAACTGTTTCAAAATGATAACACTTTTACCATCCATATTAACTACAAATGGTTTCATATGTACCTACATTAATGCCAGTCCATATGTTCTGAATCTGGTCCTCTCTTCTGCCTACCTTGTTTTCATAATTTCTGGAAAACTTAACAAGAAATGCATGAAATAATAATATATAAGAAGTCAGAATGCATTTCTGGAATATCAAGCTTTTTGTTGCCACAGGCACACCTAGGGTCACTTGAGCTCTTGGCAAGGAGCTGTATTATGGGTCGTCATCCCCCTGCGTGTGTGTGTGTGTGTGTGTGTAGCTGAGAAGCAGGAGAGGTTGTGTGGACAGGAGGAGAGGAAGAACACACCTCCCCTGGCTGGATAGGGCACACATGCTGCTCTCTGCCTGGAAGCCACTCCAAGGACCCTTTCCATCCCCTTCTATAGCACCAGCAGCAGCAGTTTTTTCTGCTAGAGATCCCAGTGGATTCCTTCTGTGGGCAAAGAAGGTGCTAAGCTGGGGGTGGGGTTCTCCAGGTGTAACAGGAAAACTTCCAATGCCTGATAGGGGATTTTTGAGGGGGACGGGTCTGTGCCCCCTAGGTTTGCCTCTGTTTGTTGCTAATGTTAGCCTTGCCCATCACAGAATTAACTGCTTACAAAAGATGAGTACAGTACTACCTCAGGTTACAGACACTTCAGGTTACAGACTCCGCTAACCCAGAAATAGTACCTCGGATTAAGAACTTTGCTTCAGGATGAGAACAGAAATCACGGCGCAGCGGCAGCTGGAGGCCCCGTTAGCTAAAGTGGTTCCTCAGGTTAAGAACAGTTTCAGGTTAAGAACGGACCTCCAGAACAAATTAAGTTCTTAACTCAAGGTATCACTGTAGTGGGGAAATTCCCCCATGTTTCACCCTAAATTTCCACTGAAAGGGCTGTCAGGAAAAGCTAGTGGGTGCTAACTTTGCCACTTTGCCACTGTCTTGCGTGCACCCCCTCTTCTAGATGCCTCCACCAGATTTTGTTTCTCCCTTCCCTTCAGACTCCTTCAGTTTTATCTGCACAAACAGAGCATTTAATCTCCTTTGCTACCAATGCTGTAAAAACACAGAAACTATGAAACTGTGTTAAGATGTTATTGTTGAAGTTTGCTTCTTCGCATAAAATGTCACCGTTGCCGGAAAAGGGAATCTCTTCAGCAGGAAGGTGAGACAATTTAATAAAAATTTAACATTTGCACAAGTCTTAGCTGGTTTAGAAGAGCCTTGCACATAATAATTTAAGATGTGGCTGCTCAACCTCTGCTATGTGATCATGCTTCACTCTTCACCTAAAGTGAATTGAAAGAGAAGACTGGCATCTTTTACAGCTTTATAAATATGAAGCCTTTCACTGGAATTGGAATACAAGTATACTTTCACAGCCTGAAGACAAGATACATCTAATGAAGTACAGATTAGATAAGATGTGCATATGGAAAGGCAACTAAATAACTTGTTAAACCAATTAATGTTATTTCAGAATGGTGGTGTTTTGGCCATTTTTGTTAGCACCGTACAGTCTTTTGATTAAAACATTTATATCCCATCTTCCCAATGTAAAACTAATGGTTAGGGCAGAGAACAGATTCAAAATAACCACTGACACATCATAAACCACTTATATTTCCAAATACTAGGTTGCATCCAATTTAGCCTTACTGGATGTAACTAACACCAACTCAGTAATTTCAGGGGGTCTGCTTTGAGTATCTTATTTGGATACATATTTGGATGTTGTGATCCCTCTGGAAAGAAGCTAGACTAAAGGATAAGTAGCAGATCACATGACCAAGGGAGCCATGCTACAGTGCTCTAGCTGGAACACAAATGCAGCATACTAAGAAATGTACTGGGTTGGATCCCAACCCTCCGTAACAGCTTCTCAGAGGGCACAAGGAAGGCAAAGGAATTAGCTAAAATTGCCTCTCCCTCCCCCTCACTTCCTTTCTCAGGAATGTCCCTTGAATATACAGGAACTCTGCATTCAACCAATCAACTGCAATCTACTAGTTATTCACCTCTTCAAGATCAAGGTTATTTCTAAAGTCGTTATGCCAGTTGTAAAGCCAAGTATGAAAGACAAAACCTGTCCCTCTTAAAATGCCTAATTCGTGCATAATTGAATCCACAATTAGAACCCAATGAAAATATCAAAATTTTCAGTAAGTTTTTAACCTCAGTTGTTCGTTATTGATGGTCAGAAACTAACAATACAAACAAATGAGCAGAGGTACTCAAGCCATTAACCCGTCTCAAAGGTATCAATAGTTGAAAATATCAAAAATGTTTAGCTTTATAGAGCCATTTCAGGAACATACCTGTCAGAGGTGGTTTGTGTGAGTGAAGGTTGCAAGGTACACTCACAATTAATTTCTGATCAGGAATTTGAGGCATGTCATCCTCTGAAATCCTACTGTATAGATCAAAACAAAATAAATGGTGAGAGCACAAATGAGAATATCTTGCTAAATATCCAAACCTTCATTGGTCCCTTTCCCCCTCTAAACAGAATAATTATAATAATATCTCACTGCCATACTAGATGGTAAGCCCCTGGGAAGCTAAATATCTAAATGCTGAGTGTATTTGTTTTCTTGAAAGATAAAGGGCAGCTTATGAAATTTCTTAAGCTTCTTCAAAAACTAAGCCAATAAAGAAATATGACTGCAAGAAGACAAATATAGTGCAGCCAATATATGTTTCAACTTTAGAATATTGTTTGCACTTAACAAAACAGATCTATATTTAATACAGGGGAACAAGTGGTCCACTTGGCAGCAGAAACCAACAGCCCTGCAGGGCTAACATGGGGGACATGGAGAAGATCTGGTTTGCGCTAGCCAAACAAGGAAGATATGGAGCTACCCACTTCATATAATATCACTAGGAGAATTCCTGTTTCGGCAAGACTTTCCTGTGCTATTTTAACCACACACATAAAAGTCCAAGCAGCTGTACTAAATCACCAATTCAAAACCTCTTCAAAGAGACTTCGGCAAGGGACCAAAGAATTATGAAAGTAGTTCTGCAAGCCCAAAGAGGCTTTAATCTTGCTTATAGCAAGCCCTACACTCTAAATTGAAAGTTATGTGGAGGTTGTGCTATGGCGTGGAGATTGCCTGTTGAAAGAAAGAAGGTAAGAAAAAGAAAGTATCCCACTGGGGTTGCACAAGCCCCTCACATTAGGCTAAGTGGCTCTTTGGATCCCAGCCCCAATATTCACATAACCCGATCACACTTTGCTAAAGGGGAAGAGATATAGTTGCTTTGGGATCCCCCTCCTCCTATTCCAATTCAAATGAATGCTCAAGGCAGCTAATGATCTTGGCCCTGCAATGACATCCCACCCATTTTAGTGATAATTGGTCATCAGTTAAAGGCATCTGCTTCCAAGAATTCCCAGTGTCGTATCTTGAGAAATTGAATTTCAAAGCACTGTAAGAAACAGACAACTAAATATCTAAAGGGAACAGCAGAAGGAGTCTGGTGTATTTTACAGCTTTCTTAAAAGCTAGTCTTTCAAGGGAACTGGAGTACAAGCATACTTCAGTCTTCATATCGTTTTGTTAAGAAAGGCCATTGCACCCTCCTTTGAACCTCAGCTGAGCATCCCTAATGAATGCCTTATAAAAATAATTCCCATTAATAATATAGAGAAATCAATGGACTCAAACCTTAATGGCACATCTGTATTTTGCTGGACTCTTCCCAATACAAGAACTTCATAAGGCTTCTTGTGAAAAGAGTCTAATGGAAATACAAACTCTCCAGACTTTGTAATCTGATAGAAAGGAACCGGAAATCAATGCTGCAAGTTACAAATCAATGTTGCAATATTTTATTTTTCTATTCATCTATCCTAAGGATGTTTTCTCACTATACCCAAGTCTAGTTCAGAGATGGGTAGTCTTCTGGCTTGTGTAATCCACTTTCTTTTTCATTTACACCCTGAAGTCTATCAACGGTGGCTTGGGGGTAGACCACTGAACCCAAAGAGCCTTAACACTGTGTGGCTACATATACAATTATAAATCCTCGTCTGAATTGCTTCAGATCAAGGATTCTAACATCAAATTTGAAATATGATCAGCAGGGCAGCCCAAGACTGGTCAAAGCAAAGTAGGTTTCCAAAGCCATTTGGGGGGGAAATGGGGAAAAACCTGGTTTCTCCCCCAATTTTCCAGGTTTTTTTTCCAGGCCTTCCCATCTCTACATATGAGGGGAAATAGTGAAATAAATAAAGAATTGCAATTGGGGTTGCAACACTTCGTTGACCGATTTAAAATATTTTAATTTAAAAGAAAAAAGAAGTGACATCAGATTAACCAGGAAGATTTTTTTTTAAAGGGAAAAAAAGAAAAGGCTATTTACAAATTCTTCCCAGGAAGGACTGCCTCCTTCTGCTACTTGCTCAAATAAAATAATGTTTCCCCCTTTTTTTCATACATGTACAAATGTATGTAATTTATTAGAACTCATGCAGTTAACATAGTAAGGTTGCAATCCTATATAGACCTGGGAGTAAGCCCCATTGAAGTCAGTGGGACTTACTTCTGAGCAGATATGTATAGGATTGTGCTGAGTGAGTTCCTTAATTGGGTGTCATCCCTAACTGTAACTTCCCATGGGAGATAATATATTAAAAAATTACATACATAACAAAAATTTGCTTCAAAAATGCTAATATTCAAATATTTTAAATGCTACCAATAAAAACAGTTATTGAGAAATAAATTTAAAACTAAACATATATAAAAATAAGTCCAAAGGTTCCAGCAAACTTACTTTCACCCAGAACCACTCCACCACTCCACGCACAGACCAATGGGGATAGAGTTCATTCTTCACAAAACATAAATGCTTCTGTCGGTTAGTCACCCAAGTGACCACAAGACAACCTGGGGCCGCCAGCGCTGGCACAGGAATTTGCTTGATTTGCCAATGGGACAAGTAATTGTACCTACACATGAATAAATTCACAAAGTCTGAGCTGGACCAAAGCTAGAAAGGAAAACAGCAGGCCTTTACAAAGCAATGGCAATCTTTTGCAAACTTTTTTCAATACTAACAACATTTAGATAAATTAAAACTGAGCCAACAGTGACATCCAGTGGTGAAATCTGTTCCCATTCTATTTGAACACCTGTTTCTTTACATTCTGATCCACTGGGTGCAGCGATAAATATCCTTCCATTTCCAAATTCTGTTATGCAGAGAAACTGAACTTATGGTCATTAAAAGTTACATATTACATTAAAGCAATTCTCTACAATGCAGAATATCTAATACTTTGATTCCCCCCCCCACTTTAATCTACAGCAGAGTCATACAGTATTTAAAAAGCTACTAATTAAGTTAAGCAATGGAATTTACGACCACAAGATGTGGTGATGGCCACTAACTTTAAAAGGAAATTACAATAATTCATAGAAGTTAGCAACAGTGAATATTATTGATAGCTATATGCTACCTGAAGCATTAGGATCACCAGTTGCTGTGGGTAACAGGATGCTGGACTAAATGGGCTTTTGCTCTGAGTCTGCAAGGCTCTTCTTCTAATATTAAAACTGCAGTAATACAAATTTGCAGTAATACAAATAGAAAAATACTGACACGAAAATCTATGACTTTTCACAATGAAGTGTAGAGCTTTCTGAGTGATTGTTCAGGCGATTTGTATTAGTGAAATGCCCATCACACAGATATCTGTATTTTTTTGTACTGCATTTTAAAGAGGCATGCCTGTTGATCACCTGAGAATCCATCTGGGTGGGTAGACACATATCCAAGTATTACAGCCAGAGTTATAGACAGCAAGGAAAAGTGATATGCCTCCATGCCTAAGATCTGAACCCTGAGCTTATTTTGATGAATATGAAATCAGTTAAAAATTAAAGCTTATCAATTTCTATAGGCTCAGGCATACCTCACTCTGCACAGGACCAAATTGTACATTAAACATATAAGCTTTGAAGCCTGAGTAATTTGGAATTAATGGTAAGCCTTTAAACTGGGCTTTTTTATTTTCTTGGAAGCAGTCGTCCCTAATAATTGCTGGGGTATTTGTCCCTGTCTGGTTAACAAGGGGGGGACGGGACCCATCCCAAGGTAGTATATAAACTCAAAAGTGCTGTTATGCTATTCTGCAACAACTCTTCCTTCTATTCCTCCCATTCCAGAAGTACCACTTCTTTTCTACTTCAGAATCCTCCTATGATAGTGGAAACATGTTGCTTTACTAGTCTCAACGCATTGCTTATTTTAAAAGGAATGTACAGCTCTTGGCCAGCTTCCCTCTCAGATACTAAGGCCATCCCACTTAGCAGCTTTTGTAAAATATGAATTAATTAGAAGCAAACCAGAGTAGCTTTAACTTCTGCAAACGCTCCACAGGCACAGAAACCATTCATTTTGATTAACCTTCAAATAACAGAGCATTCAGAGAGGTATATTGCTCAGAAGTTAATATTTTCAATTATGAAGTATTCTCATTAAGGGGGCGGGGAAGGTTCAGTGTTGTAATCTCATTCCCCAACCCCAGCATAACTATATTTTCACCTTAGAAAACTATCAAACCAGGTTCCCCACTGCCTCGTAGAACTTTCATATTAATTCAGTTTAATTGAAGTTCTACTGACATAAAATTGCAGTTATCCACTGGAGAATTAGATGCATGCATTATAATGTAGTAATCTGAGTTTACAGAACAGAACCCATTACATTTGAGAATATCAACCAGAAAAAGAGAAATGAAACAAAGCAACAAATGTGCTAATATGCCTTTAGTTGCCACCCCCACCCCTCAAGCCTGAGCAGTAGATTCTGGCCGCAGTCCCCTATATTCACTTACCTGGGAGTAAGGACTTAATGGAACTTACTTCTGAATAGACATGTCTCCTGTTGTAAACAACTCTTAATTGCACTAGTAAAGCCAGAAATTGTCATTCCACATAAACCATTAACATCTAAAAGGGAGCTGTTTTAATATGTATGTTTAATAAAATATATGTTTTAGAAGGTAAAAGGCTACCTGTTACTTCTTTTAACAGACTTGTTCTCCCATGGTGGATCTATTATAATTATGCCAAACTTTTTTTTATCTAGAAAACAAAGCAACAAGAATACACATTTTTCAGTATTTCAAATTATGTCTATTTTTATTTTTTTGCAACAAAACCAAGTTGCTCATCAAGTTTTAACAAACAATTTTCAGACTATTTAAAAGAACGTGGAAATGTGATGTTTTGTCTTTGAAAGTGGTAGCACTACCCTGCTTTGATTACAAATAAAGATATAAACATACTTCTGATCAAACTGAAGTGGCTCCATTTCACATTCATTCAAACTAACAGGCGGTCATGTCAGTTCCAAAACTAGCGTAAAATGCTTCTCTTTTATTAATAGAGGTTTCTGTTCCACAAAGGATGTATTAGCTTCTAATTTTTCTAATACCTCACACTACACATGCTAGAAATTGGATAACAGGTGAAAATGAGTGACTGCCACATAGTATGAATATGTTTGTAACAATTACTGATGCTCAAATCTAAGCATTTCTGCTAACAGGTGTTCTTTAAATTCCTTCCAAAATCTACACAATTTGCTCTGTCAATATATTAATGAAACATTGAACCAAAAGTGGGTAATTTTGCTTGGAAATGTACTTACAGTCCAGGAGTGGCTGCATAACAGAAATATCAGATAAAAGGAAAGCACTTTTGGGAGGAAATAGGTACTTCTGTCCCATTAATGTTATTATCTTTGCATAGTTTGTGGTGTTTTCTGTAACACAGGAAACCTGAACTTGCTCTGGAACACAGGAGTCCTCACTTATCATGCATACAGCTCTTTGTTCTGTTTCATTCACTGAAGGAAACTGCTTTGCCATCTCACATAATTCAGATAAACTACTGTGTTCTATAACAGGAGTCTTGGCACAAATTTGTTTTGAAGAGCTAGGCTGGAGGAAACCACTTCTAAGCCCCTCCTGGACTAAACTCCTGGTACCATCCAAAATCAAGCCTCTGATCTGTGCAGCAAAGAAAAATGAAAAAAGAGAGAAAATATCTGAGGTGGGTTGTTACAATCCACAGAGCCATATCCACAGACATGCAAATATTCAGTCTGTGAACAGGATTATCTGAATGAATGACTGAACAGTCCACACTATAAATCATTCTGATAGTTTTGCATTTTAAATATCAAGCCAAGTAAAGTGCCATTCTAAAACTCTGTCATTCATTATCCTACTTTAAATACTGAAATGGTGCTATTTATAGCTTTCCTGCTTGGCAGGGGGTTGGACTCGATGGCCCTTGTGGTCTATTCCAACTCTATGATTCTATGATAGCTCACTATCCTAAGAGCTACAAGTTGAACTATCATTTATAGTATATGCATATTTAATCATGGAAGTGTGCATTTGAGGTTACTCAAACAAGCAACTCCTCCATCACAATTATTTCTCTGACTTACCTTTAAATGGTATTCTAAAGCATCACGTTCACCATGGTTAAGTTCACTGCTTCTTTTTCGTTTCTAAAGTTAACAACATGCACAAACATCAGCACCTCTATCATTTAAAAATATTGCCATACTCTATGGTTCTTTATACTTAAAAAGATAAAGGGAGATTCTGTGGTGCATCTTGCACTCTAGAACTTGATAGAAATAACCAAAGCCTTGCTGCTACTGTGCCCCCAAAGTGATAACACTTTAGCGCTGTCAAAGGCAGACATATTATAAGCACACCTTGTTAAATAATGTTGTTAATTAGTTGACTCACTGGAATAAAAAAACCTACATGGTAGTTCAAGTCTAAGGCGGGTGTTAATTTTATTTATGTTACTCCAAGTAACTAGTGACTATTATAATGGCACTGAAGAAAATGGGACTGTAAATATTTTAGAGGGATTGAGCCTTCGGTTCATTAAAGTAATCAGACATCAACATGTGCTTATAGGAACTTGTGACATATTAAAAAGAAGGAAAATAGTTATGCATCTATAGAGAGGGTTCAACATGTGTGTTTAAAGGTGATCATTGAGCTACAAAAGCAGTATGTAAAATGTTCACAATAAATTAGGGGGTTATATGTTTCCCTTTGTGACAAATAGAACTCTGTTTCAGAGGAAGATACTTTGCAGCAATTCCTCTATACTGTACCTTTTTGGCTTTAGCAGTATAGTAAGAGCCATTCGTCCTGACTCTTTCTTGCTGTTCTGATCCACCATTTCCTAGACCAGCCTCAGATCCCTTTTGCTGGAGTTCCATTTGATTGTTTGCAACTCCATGTGGCTTCAGTACATTAAAAAATTCTTCCCGAAAAACATATGTATTCTTTACCATTAGACTTGCTTTTTCTTCTGGGGCCTTGATCTCATCAACAGAATCTTTTCTGCAAGAATTTTTAGCATCTAGGCTTCTAGCAGCCTCAATGAGAGCCCCATCTGAGGAAGCAGCAGTAGCAGGATCATCAACAAAGGCCAAGCCAGAATGATCATGGGAATGGCATAGCTGGTAGTTAGCTTTGTTTATGAAGGAGAGGTGGTCCAGTAGCCACCCGGCTGATAGATGACAAACAACAGACATTCCCTGCTATTCCTGTTTTTCAGTGTACTGTTCTTCCAAGTGGATTCAACATAAATAAATAAATCAGTATCTCTGAAAAGTAAAAAAGTAAACATTTTATAAGTATTGCAGTTTATTATTGGGAGTTTTTTTAAAACAAAAAATATCAATATTCTAACAGCATAATTCTATGGAAGGTTATGTGGCAGTAAGTCCCACTGTATCCAATGAGTCTTACTCCCCAAGTAAATGTACTTAGGACGACAGCCAAAGACAGATAAACTTCTTCCAGTATACAGTGTTAAATTATTCAAAGACTTTGATTTTAAATTCTTTACAAGATTGTAGTTTGATGACAGCAATATAAGTTATTAAATCATAGATAGCAGTGATATACATTTTAATGCCTCTAAGTGCAATACTGTTACTTTGCCCTTGTTAAACAGTTCGTATAACTGTAGGAACCACATTATTTAAATATCTGCCTCCTAATGGGATTGTTCAGGCATTACTTGGGTTTTCTACTCAGGTGAGCTTCGAATGGGGTCTCCAGCTCATGAAACTTGCTCTTTTCACCATAGATAGAGAATAATTAACAGGAAAATACCATATTGATTTGAAAGGGTTGCCTCACTTACCTTGAATATGCAAGAGAGAGAGAATGTAATAATGAGACTAAATCATGTTCTCAACCCATGTAATGCATTTGTTTACATCACTAGTTTATCATAATTGCACCTACTTAAAAGCAACTATAATTGAAATTAACAGAAATAAATTGTTTATCACTTGGATGCCAATTATGTTTAAAAACCAAGGGAGAATGTACCTCATTTATCCAGCTTTATTGCTTTAAGTAAATTTCAAGTTTTTAACCATTTTAGCAAATCGTACTTAAAAGTCAACTTTGTATTTGTAGAAAAAATGTTCCAAGCTTTTTATGCAACATGTTATGCACTATTATGGCAGCAACAATGTGCAAATCTAGTCTGAGAGCAGCACATCATGTTACAAACTCTGACACCTATTTTAGAATAGCTGGAAATGTACATGAAATTTAAACTTAAGTTTTTGCGGGCCTTTCCAGATACCAAAAAACTCCTTGCTCTTTTTCCTGCAAAAGTATTCCCTCCTGGAAGTTGTCCAAAACAAGTCATTCAGACTGCCCCAACACCCTTAAGCAAAGTTATCATTAGCACTTACAAGAATGTCTGCACACAAGACATTTTAAGGTATTCTAGTTAACTGCAGTCATCTGTAGCACAGGCAACAGTAAAACTTCCAATGAGATCGTAATCAAAACACCTAGAGGGGAGACTATTGGGCAAGGCAAACCCAAATCACTAACAGCAAAAGGCAGGATAAATAAAACTGCTTGCTATACTGAAGGACAGAAGGGAAGATGTATGTGGCAATTTCACTCGTAAAGCACTTTCGAGGGCTGATTTTAGAGAGGCTAATATACATTATCTTATTCTAATCCCTACCATAGGGTAGAACAGCGTTACTGTCACCATTTCGAGACTGCCTAGCGAGTTCGTGGCTGAAGAGAGATCTGTGCCGTGGGGGCTCGTGCAGGAAACCTACAAATACGTTTACTAGGAAGCCAAATCGCATTGAGCTCGACAGAGTTTACTCCCGGAAACGAGCGCATTAAAGTCAGACAGGTCATCAGAGCAACCCAGCAACCCAACCCAATGCCACGGCTACAACGCCAGCGCCACGGGGGAGACCCACGACGGAAAACCGCACAGCCATGAAGCTTCGCTCCCATGGGCGCAGCCACCTTGCCGTACGTAAGGCACGGTCACGTGGTTTAGGCGCTCTAGCCGACGGCTGCCGCAGATAACCATAGAGATGAAAACGTACTTACTGTATATACGGCCGTTGCGATCATTTAGCCCGTGAAGAGCGGCTTCCTCTTTCTGAGGGAAGTGACGTCGCCTCTCCTCCCTTCACGCTTTCTTATACTGAGGGCGTCACTGGTGACGTTCCTGATTGGCGGGTAATTTAAAAAAAACACCAACCAACCAACCAAGAGCGGCTCCGCGATTAGACCGAGAAGGGTCTAAACAACGGGACCGGCGGCTGAAAGCCCTTTGGCGCAGGCGCTGCAGGCCTTGAGTGGGGTCGGGGGTTCTTCAGCTCGGCGGAAGGAGGTGATGGGCGTGGGGGGGGGGACCTATGGGCGAGGGGGAACCGTTTCTTTTCCCAACGCCCTATGCAGGGAACGCCCTAATTTAAGGCTCCTCTGATCCTTCGCCGGTGGGCTGGGGCTCTGCGAAGCCTCCCGTCTCCTAATCTGAGATGCTTGGAAATATTCCTCTCTTCCTCCCCCTTGAAAAGAAACCCTCCCTTAACCGCACCTTCTGGCCTTGGTATGCTCAAGCGGGAATTTTATTTATTGCTCTTGGGTAAAAGGCTGCCTAGGGCTGCAGCCTCAAGGGACGAAAGTGCCCCCACCCCCAGGTTCTCTGCTTGCTTCCCTTCTCAGGAGGTGCGCAGTTCCCCTCGACCTACTCTGCCTAACCCAGGGTGAGGGTCAGTTGCGGAGGTGCAGGCTGCTCTGGGTGGCATCCCTGAGGGAGATGACAAAAATGAGATTTTAAAAATAATTTTTAAAAATTGAGCTCACAAAACTTTTTAGTTCAGTCAACAAACGTAACGAAATGCAGCTGGCACTGGGTGCCACAGCAGGGGCCGGCACTTACCGCGGGGCCTACAGCGTGCCAGAGCCACACATCTCTCCTGGGAATGACGTGGTGGCTGCAGGCTCCGCACTGCTTGAAACAGCAGCATGGGACTTGTGTCTGCCTTCCTCCTCTCCCTCAGCCGGCCGACAGCTGAGGGGGAGGCTCCATGCAGCGTGCCTCGTCCCCAGCTGCAGGACGCCGCACCTGGCACCCCAGCGGCTAGCTACACCACTGGCAAGGGTGCTGGAGCGTCCTCTCCTGCTGGGGCGACTCAAGGCCCTTTTCTCAACGGAGCAGGACTTTCGCCCCCGAGATCCCCAGTCGCCTTCCTGCCTCATGGTAGATGATGGTGACCTATTTATTTGTTGTCTGCCTTTTCCCTTGATGGGGTTCAAGGCAGCACACAGATAAACCAGCTTTTAAAAGAATAGCCTTGCTTGGACCTTCCCAGTTCTGTCGCTGACCAGGCAGTATCTTCACTCCCTCCAGCAGGCTTGCTCCTCTGCAGTTCGTCTACAACGATGCATCGCAACTCCAGTACCAGCCGCCTCAGCTGCCGGCAGTCCATCCATCCTCTCAGGGTGCAGGATACCAACAAGGCGGTGCCCAATACTCCTCTAACGTAAGTAAGATAGGTAATTTCTCTTGTGGCAGGGTTTCATTCCTGAAAGACAAAAGGGGTCCTGGGATGCTGCAATGGTCAGGGATGGTAGGAGCTGTAGTCTCAAAACATCTGGAGGGCCAAGTTTGAGGAAGCCTGGGCTACAGCATCAGGGCCTTTTTAAGCTTGGGGAAAAGGCAGGTAAGCAGCCAGGGAAGGGCATGATGGAAGTAGAAAATTATGCATGATGAGTTTGATTGGGGATAGTGTTTCTTCCTCTTTAAATATTAGAACCAGGGGGCATTAAGTGAACATGAATGCTGAGAGCTTCAGGGCGGACAAAAGGAAGTATTTCTTAACGTAGCACATAGTTAAGTCTTGGAATTAACTACCACATGTAGGGGTGGCCACCAACATGAATTATTTTTAAATGGGGCTAGACAAATTTATAGAGGATAAAGCTGTTCTCTTCCTCCACTAGCAGAGGTGGTATACCTCTGAATGCCAGTTGCTGGAAATTGCAAGTGGAAGAAGCAATGTTCCACTCAGATCTCATCCATAAACTTCCCATAAGCTTCTCATAGGCCACTGGTAACATCTTTCAACAAGGTTTGTCTTACATTCTTAAAGTACACATTTTGAAAATTGGAGTCCTGTTGATGTCTGGTTTCTATTTTAATGAGATTATTAAAGGTGTTGTATATAGCACATTAAAAATAAGCATAAGTCACAGTAAAAGGTCTTTTTTTAAGGGTGAGCAAGAGTAAAAATAATTAAGTGGATGTATATCAAACTTAATGTATGCAGCTTCACAACATCTGTATTGCAGTTTGATACTAATAGCTGGCAACTTAATTGAACAGAATTTAAAGGTAACTTATTTCACTATGATTTGTGCAAATCAATATTCTTTTCAAGACAAGAGAGGAGGACAACCTTTGGAAAGCTGAGCGTGGGGAAACGTGGATCAGTGACATCGGAAAGGAAAACCAGTTTCTTTGGCAAAAGGTAATAGAGCACACAGACAAAAACTCCTGAAAGGTCTACACTTGGCAGAATTTTTTTAAAAAGAAATGGGCATGAGGCTATTTAAGCCACAGCACCATTTAGAAGGCTGGAGCAGTGTAACTTTGTGATGCTATTTCCAGCCAGGGGAAATGTTGCAACACTGTTATTTCCTATGCTTGGAAGTACCAGCTTAGAAGCTATACCTACCCTTTGAATGTGGGAGTACTCTGGGTTGCTTTGTTTTTTCAAGCCAGATATAGAGTGGTTTAACACTTTTACTTGGCTAGAAAGAAATTCAAGAATACCTTAGGAAAAGGAAAAGCCCCACACTGCACTTTAATTTTCTGGTGGAATACTGTGGTGTGGCAAGTTGAATGACATTGTCAACTGTGAGTTTGACTTATTCTTGTAACCTAACATTTGTGTCCAAGTAGCTCTGTTTGCGTAGTAGCAGCTAACTTGAGATTGTCATCTTACTCCTTTGTTTCTAGGACCAGTGGCCCTGGAAGCTTACGAAGCAGCCAGTATGGGGCATTCGGGAATATGGAAAAGATCAAGGAACCCAGGCCACTTCATGATAAAGCATACGTCCAGCAATGTATCCGACAACTCTACGAAGTACTTTTAAACTACATATATTTGGCCTGGGGTTGGAATACTTAGCTGATTTTAGTTGCCCCTGATTGATCCACCTTGGGGATCTCATTGTAAGATAAAAAGGGTTAAAAAAAATACCCTAAATAAATGAGCAGCTGGATTTTTTAAAGTGTTAAATACTTTGATACATTTATTTTTTAAAAAATGAAAGGTGCTTGGTGCTGTTAGAAGAGGCATTCCTTTCTTTTATACCTTCTGAAAAATGGATTTAAAAAACAACAAAAAACAACAATGTGCAAGACAGAAGTATTTTTGCTTATACAAGTCTTTGTAGACAAATTCATTTAACTTGCATGGTTAGCTTTATTTGAGTGGTGCCCTAATTTGGATTGTGTGGCTTCATGTGGCTCTGGCGTGAAATCTAGCATATATACACTATGTATAAGCTGCTCATAGAGCTTTACTGTAATAAGAGGTATAATTTTTAAATAACTAAATGTGATAGAAATATAACTTTCCCCCCTCAGTTTCTTACTACATATGGATATGGTCCTACCGTCTCTGTGAAGTCACTCCAGGCTCCATCTACTAAGGACTTTGTGAAAATCTTCACTTTTATTTATGGGCAATTTTGCCCTTCTTATGAGCTTCCCAGTTCTAAGTTTGAAGAAGAAATTCCAAGAAATTTTAAAGAGCTTGGGTAAGTACCAGGATAATATACTATATGCACATTTTTGTCAGTATGAGAACGTTGTCTACACTGCTAAAAACAGGAAACTCTGACCCGTAGGCCAAACTTCACCCACCAGATTGTTTAAGGGAAGCCACACCCACCCTCCCTATGTAGGGAAAATTTGGAGATTCCCTTACTGGAGGTCAATAAGATAATGATTGCATTTGCAAAGTAGCAACCCCAATTGTGGAAGTCACTACAAAGGATTCAAAGACAATACATGCATTGTAAAATCATTAAACCCACCCCTTCATTACGTTAGTTCAACACAGTCATAAAACATCATTTCAGCAACACTAATTAGCACTTTACACTTTTTGACATGCTGCCAGGTGAAGGCACCATCACACTCTGACCCTCAAACTGAGGGTAGAAGGAGCCACTAGGTTCCAGAGCCAAGAAACATATTGCAAGTCTTCTCAGTGGACTTCATCACATTGATTTAACTTTTATCAAGGGGCAGTTTCCTCTGTAGCTCAGGTTTCCCCCTTCCCTTCTGTGCCCAATACAAAGCCTGTAGGCATAATGTATGGCATTCCTTTTAATCTGAAATAACTACCATTGTGTAGTCCACTGGCTCATTACTCATAAACCACTGGCTCACATTAAGAATACTATTTCATATTTATCAAAAATGTAGAAATATGATCCATCCTATTTTGTGTAGGAAATGATAATTGGCTGGATCTAGACAGATCAAAGAAGCATTTCAGTTAAATGCATTGTGTACTTTATGAGAAATTGTGTTGGCAAAAATGGAACTCCACAGCGCCATCTGGTGTCACTGTTATAATGCATCCATATACAGTGGTACCTTGGTACTCAAACGACTAGCCGGTTTGAGAAAGTTTTTTGGAAGCCGAACGTCCGACGCAGCTTCCGCAGCTTCAGATTGAGTGCAGGAAGCTCCTGCAGCCAATCGGAAGCTGCACCTTGGTTTTCAAATGGTTTCGGGATTCAAACGGACTCCCAGAACAGATTAAGTTCGAGAACCAAGGTACCACTGTAAAACACACATAAAACACATTTTCTTTACCAATCTAGCTGAGTCCATTTTATGTATAACTAGATATTCCTACTCTCTGTCAATCATTCTCTTGAAGTGCTTGACTATACAGCATGTGGTCTGTCTCACTAATATATTGGCACAAAGCAAGTATATTGCAAATATTGACTGGGTGACAATTATGCATC